CCCTATTTTCGGCCAATTCCAATGTACCAGTCGACAAAAGGCATAACTATTTAGCTACAACTACATTTTTTCTGTCGAATGAGTACAAGAAACCACCCATTTACACATTACAACCATCCAATAAAGTGGTCAGAAATTGGCAATTTTAGAACATAAGAACATAAGAAAGGAGGAACACTGCAGGAGGCCTGTTGGCCCATACTAGGCAGGTCCTTTACAATTCATCCCACTAACAAAACATTTGCCCAACCCAATTTTCAATGCTACCCAAGAAATAAGCTCTGATGTGAAAGTCCCACTCAAATCCAACCCCTCCCACTCATGTACTTATCCAACCTAAATTTGAAACTACCCAAAGTCCCAGCCTCAATAACCCAACTAGGTAGACTATTCCACTCATCAACTACCCTATTTCCAAACCAATACTTTCCTATGTCCTTTCTAAATCTAAACTTATCTAATTTAAATCCATTACTGCGGGTTCTCTCTTGGAGAGACATCCTCAAGACCTTATTAATATCCCCTTTATTAATACCTATCTTCCACTTATACACTTCGATCAGGTCTCCCCTCATTCTTCGTCTAACAAGTGAATGTAACTTAAGAGTCTTCAATCTTTCTTCATAAGGAAGATTTCTAATGCTATGTATTAATTTAGTCATCCTACGCTGAATGTTTTCTAACAAATTTATGTCCATTCTGTAATATGGAGACCAGAACTGAGCTGCATAATCTAGGTGAGGCCTTACTAATGATGTATAAAGCTGCAGTATGACCTCTGGACTTCTGTTGCTTACACTTCTTGATATAAATCCCAGTAATCTATTTGCCTTATTACGTACGCTTAGGCATTGCTGTCTTGGTTTAAGGTTGCTGCTCACCATAACCCCCAAGTCCTTTTTGCAATCTGTATGGCTAAGTTCTACATCATTTAACTTATAAGTACTAGGGTTATGGGCACTCCCAAGCTTCAGAACCTTGCATTTATCTACATTGAACTGCATCTGCCACTTTTCTGACCAAGAATAGAGTTTGTTTAAATCCTCCTGAAGTTCCATAATGTCTACGTTTGAATCAATTATCTTACCTATCTTTGTGTCATTGGCGAATTTGCTCATATCACTAGTAATTCCCTCATCAAGATCATTGATATATATTATAAACAACAACGGGCCCAAGACTGATCCCTGTGGAACGCCACTTGTTACAGATCCCCACTCGGATTTAACCCCATTTATGGACACTCTCTGCCTCCTGTCAGTGAGCCATGACTCGATCCACGAGAGCACTTTTCCCCCAATGCCATGAGCTGCCACTTTCTTTAACAGTCTATGGTGTGGAACTCTATCAAAAGCCTTACTAAAATCTAAGTAAATAATATCAAATTCCTTATCATGGTCAACAGCCTCAAAAGCTTTACTGAAGAAAGTTAATAAATTAGTTAGACAAGACCGGCCTCTTGTGAATCCATGCTGAGTATCATTAATCAAGCTATGCTTATCGAGATGGCTTCTTATAATCTCAGCTATAATTGACTCTAGTAATTTGCCTACAATTGAGGTCAGGCATATTAGGCGGTAATTTGACGGTAACGACTTGTCCCGTTTTAAAAATAGGAATTACATTAGCCATCTTCCACATATCAGACACTAGACCAATTTCACACAAATTTCAAAAGATGCCAATTTCCAAATAGGGTCCAGAATAAACAAGACAGACATTCCTGGCATTAAAATAACATTTCCTTTCTTCATTAGTCACGTCCCCAGGTGTCTGTTACATTTCTTTTGCTTTCCACTTTGAATTTTTATTCTCACATAAAATAGAAGATTTACTGTTATGCAGACTAATGCATTAGTGTAGAAATGGTATAAATAATATCAGCACACTTGTGAAAAAATATTAGACTCACCAGTTGACGTGTACTGGATGTGTGGCATGATTTGTTTACTTTTGAACTTTGGCAAAAATCGAACATTTCTGCTACTTTGAGCTCAATTTCAAGGTACTTTTCATTGTGAAACCAATGAAAATCATCTCAATTTCTGTAATATGTCTTCCATTCTATAAAATGAGACCAGAAAAAGTAGAATACAATCATAAATAGCATACGAAAATACACTGCAAAGTCGCTGTTTTAAACCAAAAACAGATTTTTTTTTTCTCATTATGCACCGTGTGCTGCAGGATTTTTTTTCATACTGCGCACACTGACCACATAGACCCATTCTTTCATATATAGGCCTACCAGCTTTTCTCGGCAGTGAAGGGACTTGAGCTAGAGTTTGTCACGGCCACGCTAGCTGGAGATTCGTCTGTAAAAACTTGCATTTGTGGTCACAGAGGTGCCTGTGCTAACTTTCCTATGGTGTAGAAATATACCTAGTTGGATGAATCTTATTGTGGCTAGCTGGTCTAGTGGCTAACGCGACGGGCTGGAGTTTTGAGACTCTATGACCGCGGGTTCAATCCCGGCCGGGGTATGGTTTTTTTTAGACTCGCAAAATCGTAATGACACGATTGCAAATGCTACGGTCTGGAGTTTTGCTCTCTGATCGCAGGTTCTATCCCCGCCCTGTGTACAGTTTCTCTCGCTAGATTTGAAGGCGGTAGAATTTATGCGTACTAGTACAGCACCAACCCTGGCGTGCAAGCCGTACTAGTATTGCACCAACCCTCAAAGGGTTAACCCTTTGACTGTCTCAGTTGTATATATACATCTCACAAGCCACCGTGCTTGACGTATTAATACTCCAAAATTCTAGCAGCTTCAAATCAACCAGGAGAAAGCTGATAGGGCCACATGTGAGAGAATGGGTCTCCATGGTCAGTGTGCACCATATAAAAAATACCGGGGAGCCAGTGGTGCATTATGGGAATGCCATTTCAGTAGTCCTTTTTCAGCCTGCCTAGCGGTAAGAAATATGCGACTCCCTGGCGTATCTAGGACTCTTCTTTTTCCCAAGTGATGTTCTAACACAGGTAGAAGCGTCAGTGAAGATCAATTTCATGGTTTTGAGGAGTTTGTGACTGAAAGCACTGCCCAGGATACCAGAAGAAAGTAAGAAAGGAAATAGAAGGAAGAAAAAAAGAAAAGTAGAAAAAGATAATTACACGGAGGATGGAGGGGAAGCAAGCATCTGACCCCATTGTTTTGACAGGCAGTAGCGGGAGTGAGTAATGAGACAATGTCATTTTGACAGCTGCTGGACCCTGACTCGGCACATTTAGAAGTCCATACACACTCACACACACAACACAATGAAAGTGTCCAGTGACTATATATGTGTATATATATTATAGAAACCAGAAGGAAGGAAAGAATGAAGAAATAATGAAGGAAGAAAGAAAGGTAGGTAGGAATGATGACACAGGAACATTTACCTAGAATAACTACCTATCACAACTGCCTGCTACTACTTTGAAGAAAATTGCTCAGAGAGGTGTTTTGTCTGTGCACATACAAAAAACGCCCACAAAACCACAGACACTTGTTTTATGTGTGAGGAGTGTAAAACACCATTGTGTATGAAACCATGTTTCAAAGAGTTCCACAAGCTGCAGAACTTCTAGGAACATGTCCAGTGACTGTACATTTATATATAATAGAACAATAGTAATAATTTTTTGTATTTGTTTGTGTAAACAAGTTTTGTAAACAATATATTGATAATTATGTTTGTGTGCTTATTGTGTTGTATACAACGAGTGTATATATGTACATTGCACCTTACTTTGGTCTCACAGGCCACATAAGTTATGTAAAAAATAAAATAGTGAAAAAACAAGAAACCTTCCAATGCAAGTAGTAAACCAAAGTTTACCGGGTGAGTGGCATTCACCGCTGTTGCCATACGCTGCTCATTTTCTGCCAACTTTACACCTCTATATCTCGGTAAGTACTGATTGCAAAAAAAAATTGTGGGGGGCTTAAAACAATCAGAACAGTCAAAGGGTTAATTTATTTATAGATGGGGTTGTAAAAGAAGTAAATGCTAGGGTGTTGGAGAGAGGGGTGGGATTAAATTATGGGGAATCAAAGACAAAATGGGAGTTGACACAGTTACTTTTTTTGCTGATGATACTGTGCTTTTGGGAGATTCTAAAAAAAGGTTAGAAAGGTCAGTGGACAAGTTTGGGAGGGTGTGTAAAGGTAGAAAGTTGAAAGTGAATAGAGATAAGAGTATGGTGATGAGGGTATCAAATGATTTAGATAAGAAAAATTGGGGATCACATTGGAGAGAGGGAGTATGGAAATGTTTTCAGATATTTGGGAATTGACTTGTCAGCAGATGGGTTTATGAAGGATGAAGTTAAACACAGAATTGATGAAGGAAAAATGGTGAGTGGTGCATTGGGGTATCTGTAGGATGGCGCTGTGTGGTGCTGAGAGTGTTTATCTATAGGCAACATATGAAGAATGCCACTGCAGCTTCATATTTATTAATATTAATTACTATTCCATGCTATAATGAACAATTTTATAATGTATATTCAGTTCCCATAAATTCTTCTTTCACATATGATATGCATGTTTGCCTCAGCCTCTCTTCCCTGATTTGTGATAACAGTGTTGCACTATACATATGTACAGTTCTTTAGCTCACTTAAATTGACAGTACAGCTTCTCCTCACTAAGCGACGTTCATGTTTACTGACGCCTCAGACTTACGATGGGCTCTCTGACCAGTTTTTATACCTAAATAATGTATATTAGAGCTGATTTCCTCTATTCTGTTTATTTCAATATACAGTACACTACTGTATAAACATTTAAAAATATACCAATGTTGTAAATGGTACAAAGGTGACATTAAAACAATATCAAAGACAGTTGACACAAACCCACTACCAATATAGTATGCTCCTCACTTAGTGATGAACTCGTATAATGATGTGGTCTTAGGAACGGAACTCTGTTGTTAAGTAACGAGAGGCTGTATTGTGTAGTGTATGCAAAAATATTTTGAATTACAATTTGCATTTCAAATTTTTTTCAGATTCCTCTTTCTGAACGCCACGGATCAGACATTGATAAAGAACGCCTTGAAGGCACCTTTAAGCTGTTTGGATTCCATGTGATGCATTTTGACAATCCTGATTATGAGAAGATACATCAGTTTTTTAAAAACCTTCGGGTAAATCCACGACTGGCCATTGTTTCATGCCTGGCTGTGTGCATCATGACTCATGGAGATGAGCAAGGTGAGGTTACCAGTGAGTAATGCTATGTATGTATACAAACATTTCATACCACAACAATACTTTTATATTTCTATACTGTATAGTACCAGGACTTTGTTTCTTCAGAAATACGCACACAGTTTTGCACTGATATCTTTTATGCAGGTTTCCTTTGGCTTAGAATGAACCATATATCTAGCTTTTGCATTTGGTAATACCTTGCATAGTACGGTTTTGAACAGTACGGGTCTTGCTATAATACAGTTTATAAATTAAATAATATAAATTTTATTTAACTGCATTGCACACCAATATTGGAGTACTGCTATATACCAGATCAGCACGATGCAAACATCAGTATGGCTTCAGACTCTGAGCAGTGAAGTTTTGTAGATTTATACAGTACATACGCATACATGATTTTTTATTTAATATGTAAAGTACTGATACCCCTTTCATACACAAATATGAGTGGAAAGAGGAAATGCAGTGAATGATGATGAACATTCTAGTAAATGTCAATAGGTTAACATTGGATGAAAAACTAGAAATTATAAAAAACATGAAGATGGTAAATTGTGTGCTAAAATAGCAAGCGACAACAAAGTGAACAAAGCATCAGTACATGCACATGTAAGGAATAAAGATAAAATAAAAAGACACTTAGGTCACACTGCACATACATGTACACGTTTATGTATACACACTCGTCTGAGTTTTCTTTGATTTTATCTTAACCCTTAAATGGTCCAAACGTATATATATGTTCACGTGCATAGCGCCCCAAACGTATATATACGTTTTCTTTGTCATTCATTCAACGCTGCCACGATAAGCCTGAGTGGGTGTGCGCACTCACTGTGCACCATATTAAAATAATTGGGGACGCCTGGGTACCATATGCTATTTTTTCCTATTAAAAAAAAAATTTCTCAAAAAATTTGGGGCGCTACGCAAGTGAGCGTATATATACGTTTGGACCGTTTAGGGGTTAGTAGTTCTTGTTCTTAGTGCTTTTCATTTCATATCCATGGGGAAGTGGAATAAGAATCTTTCCTCCATAAGCCATGCGTGTTGTAAAAGTCAGCTAAAATACTGGAAACAGTGGGCTAGTAACCCCTTTTCCTGTATAGCTTACTAAAATGGAAAAGAAGAAAACCGTCAAAGTGGGATGTTTGAATGTGGGTGGATGTTGTGCAAATGATAAGAAAGAGAGGATTGTGGATATTATGAATGAGAAGAAGGTGGATGTCCTGGCTTTAAGTGAAACAGCTGAAGGGGGTAGGAGAGTTTCAGTGGGGAGAGATAAATGGGATTCGGTCAGGGGTTTCAAATAGAGTTAGAGTTGCAGAAGGAGTAGCAATAATGTTGAAGGATAAGTTATGGCAGGAAAAGAGGGAATATAAATGTATAAATTCAAGGATTATGTAGTGTAAAATAAGGGTTGGATGTGAAAAGTGGGTTATAGTAAGTGGTTACACACCTGGAGAAGAGAGAAGTGTAGAGGAGAGAGTGAGATTTTTGGGAAATGTTGAATGAGTGCGTGGGGAGTTTTGAACCAAGTGAGAGAGTACTTGTGGTTGGAGATCTCAATATTAAAGTGGATAAAATGTTGTGGAGGGAGTAGTAGGTAAATTTGGGGTGTGAGGGGTAAATGAAAATGGGGAGCTTTTAATTGAGCTGTGTGTAGGAAGAGGTTTGGTAATAAGTATTACATATTTTATGAAAGGATAAATAAGTATACAAGGTATGATATAGCACATAATGAAAGTAGTTTGTTAGATTATGTATTGGCGGATAAAAGGTTGATGGGTAGGCTTCAGGATGTACTGTATGTTTATAGAGGGGCAACGGATATCGGATCATTATTTAGTTGTAGCTACAGTTAGTGTAAGAGGTAGATGGAACAAAAGGAAAATGGTAACAGCAAGTAAGAGAGAGGTGAAAGTGTATGAACTAAGGGAGAAAGGTGGGCTAATGCAAGTATGGATGGTGGGGAGGGGTGAAGAGGGTTGGGGTAGTTTTAAGATTAAGATAAGATTTCGTTCGGATTTTTAACCCCGGAGGGTTAGCCACCCAGGATAACCCAAGAAAGTCAGTGCGTCATCGAGGACTGTCTAACTTATTTCCATTGGGGTCCTTAATCTTGTCCCCTAGGATGCGACCCACACCAGTCGACTAACACCCAGGTACCTATTTGCTGCTAGGTGAACAGGACGATAGGTGTAAGGAAACGTGTCGAAATGTTTCCACCCGCCGGGAATCGAACCCGGGCCCTCCATGTGTGAAGCGGGAGCTTTAGCCACCAGGCCACCGGGCCACCTATGGGGCAGAAGTTTGTAGATATAGCAGAGTGGGTGCAGGAGGAAAGAGGAGTGATTGGCAGAATGATGAAGTAAAGGGTGTGATAAAAGAGAAAAAGGTAGCTTATGAGAAGTTGTTACAAAGCAGAAGTATTGTAAGAAGAGCAGAATATATGGAGAGTAAAAGAAAGGTGAAGAGAGTGCAAAAGGAGAGCAGATGAAAGAGTGGGAGGCACTAGCAAGAAATTTTGCTGAAAATAAGAAAAAAATTGGAGTGAGATAAACAAGTTAAGAAAGCCTAGGGAGCGAATGGATTTCAGTTAAAAACTGAGTAGGGGAATTAGTAGATGGGGAGCTGAAGGTATTGGGTAGATGGCGGGAATATTTTGAGAAACTTTTAAATGTGGATGATGAAAGGGAGGCGGTAATTTCATGCACTGGTCAAGGAGGTATAACATCTTTTAGGAGTGAAGAAGAGCATAATGTGAGTGTGGGGTAGGTGTGTGAGGGGTGACTTCAATATAAATCTCCTGCAAGACCAGGACCCACACATTACTGAATTCACAAACACAATGAGTAACTGCATATTGCTACCAACAGTAACAAAACCTACAAGAGTTACAGAGACTAGTGTTTCCCTACTTGACCACATCTGGACCAACACCATATCCCCTTTAAAATCAGGCATAATCACAGATAATACCACAGACCACTACCCTACTTTCCTCATAACAACTCTTGGTAAATTACCCCAAGACACATTCAGACTTCACAATGAGGCAGCCATTAATAACTTCACAACAGCAGTAACAAACATTGACTGGCACACTGAGCTAGAAATCTATACAGATATTGACGAATGTATTAATAATTTTCTAAAAAAGACCCAATACCTCTGTAACAAGCACTGCCCTAAAAAAACTAAACAGATGACAGCTAAGAGACTGAACAGTCCCTGGCTAACACCCAGCATTCTCAAATCCATAAATACAAAACACCTATACGAAAAACAGTACAGAATGGGTCACATAACCAGAGACCAAACAAAACGTTACTCGTCAATCTTAACCAGCCTGATAAGAAGGGCAAAAAAATTGTATTATGAGAACAGATTATCCAACTTACGAGGTGATATAAAAAAGACCTGGAAAACCCTATCAGAAATTCTAGGAACAAAAAAGATATCACGAAATAGCGAAATAAAATTAGCATAATCAGATGAACCCCAACTCCCATCAACAGAAACAGCAAACAGACTCAATGATTTCTTCTCCACTATAGGACAAAACCTTGCCAATAAAATCCCAAGCTCAGATACCCCACCAAATGACTACCTCGCTGGCAACTACCCGAACACACTTCCTAGCTCCGACTAACCCATACGAAGTCTCCCTTATTATCAACACACTAAAAAACAAGGCAGGAGATTTAAATACCTTACCACCCTTTATATACAAAAAACTGTCACAAGTGCTATCACCAATCATTGCAACACTCTTTTAACAAATCCATTGAATCCTCCACCTTCCTTACAGTTCTCAAAATAGCAAGGGTCACCCTGATCCATAAAGGAGGAGACCAAACAGAGTTGAATAACTATAGGCCAATATCCAACTTACACCCTATCTCTAAAATCTTCGAAAAATTTATTCATAAACGAATCTACTCGTACCTCATCTCTCAAAACATACTCAACCCCTGCCAATTTGGATTCAGGCCTAATAAAAATACTAATGATGGTATTATACACATGCTAGAACATATATACACTGCAATAGAGAAAAAAGAAGTCCCACTGGGGATCTTCATTGACTTACGTAAAGCTTTTGATACAGTTGACCATGACTTGCTCCACATAAAATTGTCACACTATGGTATAAGAGGGCACTCCCTCAACTACCTCAAGTCATACCTCAGCAACAGAAGCCAATATGTGTACACAAATGGGGCAAACTCTTCCGCACAACCAATTAGAGTTGGTGTCCCACAGGGAAGTGTCCTTGGCCCTCTTCTCTTTCTCCTATGCATAAATGACCTACCAAATGCTTCGCAATTACTCAAACCCACACTATTTGCAGATGACACTACATACGTCTTTTCTCACCCGAGCCCAGTCATGCTAGCCAATACTGTAAATACCGAATTACAGAAAATATCTACCTGGATGAGGACTAACAAACTTACACTAAACATTGACAAAACCTACTTCATTCAGTTTGGTAACAGAGCTACAGATGTCCCTCTTAACATAATGATAAATGGATCACCTATCACAAAGCTAACAGGGAAAATTCTTAGGAATCCATCTTGATAATAGACTCAAATTTCATACACATATACAACAAATTTCTAAGAATATTTCCAAGATCGTAGGCATACTATCGAAGATACGGTACTGTGTTCCACAGTCAGCCCTCCTGGCCCTATATCACTCTCTTATTTACCCCTATCTCACCTATGGAATTTGTGCATGGGGCTCAACAACAATTAACTATCTCAGACCACTAATTACCCAACAAAAGGCTGCAGTCAGAATGATAACAAATTCCCACTACAGGCAGCACACTCCACCAATATTCAAAACACTAAACCTACTCATCATACAAAACATCCATACTTATTACTGCACCTATTACATACATAGAACACTTAACTCTGATATTAACCCTCCCCTCAAACATCTTGCCAACCTCAACAGAACACATGACCATAACACAA